AACCACCAGCCTTCTGGTTAGCAGTCAAGTGCCTTAGGAGTGTATCTATCTAATGTAAATGTTCTGCTCATACACCTGTGTTTTGTTTGGCTGGAAGCCACAGAGTGGGTTCAATTCCAGACCTGAAGGGCAGCTAGGGGCCATAGTCTCAGGAGTTCCACCAGGCTCTATCAGACCAGCAAACCTGGTCTCTTTTTTAAAAAAAATGATTTTGAGTTTTGTTCCACATTGTTCTCCCACTCTACCCAGTATCTCCTACATAGATCCAAAATGCACGTTTATTCTTATAGCTTGAAAATAATGAAGAAGTTTATGGTTCTTTTACTCGCACAGCAAGCCTGGAAGGAGATAGGTACTACCTTACATATTAACAATTCATTGGTGGTCGTCGTCTGAATCTAACTACTATAGAGGGCCAAAGGCAAACCTCATTTACTTCAAGATTACTAAAACCCTTATCTTGGCATTTGTTATCATTGTACATTGTAATCCAATGGGCAAAACCTGAGTCAGACTATCAGTTAAATATCCCAGAGAACAAAGATAACCAAAATCCACAGCTGTTGAGTTAACGAGATCTTTCCCTTTCTAGCCCAAAGAAATGGAAGCAAATTTATAGCTCTAAAATAAATTCCTGAAAATTCATTCTCACATATCTTTCAGAATTTCATGTGTAAGTCCACATGCACTTCAAAATCAATTTTAAAGCTGCTTGATGATGAACAAGGACAATAAACCAGTGATGAAATGGTAAGAGAGATATTTTGAAATAAACTTATGGAAGGTCATACAAATGTGAAAGGCATCTGATCAAAGCCTTTCACTCTCAGGTGCTCAGAAGCATAAGACCCCATTTGAGTCCGCTTGGTTAAAATTAAAACACCATTTTGCCACATCATATGGTGCAATGATGAGGGTTAGTCAGATGAGGTCAGGCTGGCAGGGGGAGTCTGGCAAAATGCCACAGGTCAAGTCTGGCAAGAGATGTGAAGTACCAAGAGGTTAGCTAAGTAAGGGTGAACTCATTCTGGTCCCTCTATGCCAGCCTTTTCTCTGTTCCATTAGTGTGCCAGCCTCTGGGGAGAGGTCGGGGGTTGGTCGTGTTTTGCTCTGTGAATGCTTACGTTTGATCCTTTAACTAGGATATCCTTTAGATATTATGTAATTTCAAAAAACAATACTAAAGAATTATCTTATTTATGTTTTATAATGCGTGTTTTCATGTACATAGACATGTACATCAATGTGTAGAAAGAGACCTGAGAGAGGCTTATCAAGCTTTTGAGTCATACCTCCAGACTGGGAGTGGAGTGGGGTGGTGACAGAGGGAGTCTATAACCTTTATTCTGTATATTTCTGTATTGTTTGGATTTTTCATTATGAGATTAGATTAATACACTCCTCATGAAATTTTAAAATGCAATTAAAAATAAATATGAAGATTTCAGGCGTCTTGGTAGGCTGTAGGGAAGAGGTATTCAGAGCAATTGCCAAGCAGTCAGACAACCTGAAGGGATAACAGAAAACTGTAATACTTCTGTGTGGCTTGAGATTTTCATAAGGTGCATATATGTTTTTAACTTAAAAA